ATTAACTACATAATATTTTCGTATACAAAGACTGTCATAAACCATGATTAGAACCTTCTTAGGTATTTTTAAATGGTTCTAATTCAGCAGCTGCCTGAGGCAAGCAGAACTAGATTATCTGGTGGACAGAGAAACAAGACTATTTACCATATACCGTTTCTTAACTTGTGCATTGTGAGCCACGTACAGAAATCATCTCTTTAAACTGTTAAATTTTAAATGGTGGCAATTAACTAAAAACTTACAGAACACTTGAACTATTCCAGTAAAGAAAATTGGTAGTTAAGAAAATGACATTTGGAATCAGAATACTCCGGGTTTAAATCTTTATAAAGCATGGCACGGTCAATAATCTAAATAGATAACTGTACGAATAATTACTCCCTCCAAAGCTTTAATATGATCATAAAACGGGGAATAACTGTGCTTTCATTAATTGTCATTATTATCTTCAGTTTTCCCCTCATGTACTAGAATGAATGCAGATAAATTCACATGTGAGTTTAAAAAGAATAAAACATGGGGCACCTGGGTGGCTCAATTAAGCATCCGACTTTGGCTCAGGTCATGAACTTACAGTTTGTGGGGTCAAGCCCCTCTTTGGACTCTGTGCGGACAGCTCAGAGCCAGGAGCCTGCTTTGGATTCTGTGTCTCCCTCTCTCTCTGCCCCTCCCCTGCTCACACTCTTGTCTCTCTCTCAAAAATAAACATAAAAATCTTTTTTTAATGTTTTTAAAGAATAAGAACTTGGGCTGATGAAAGATAACCTCAAGTACCCTATCTAATCCCTTCTTATAAGGTTTTTGTATCCTTTTTTTTGGTAGGCAGCATTCCCATTTTAAGTCGTTTTCCTCAGCGCAGCTGAAGAGTTCGTCAGAATCCAAGAAAATTAATTCATGAACCTTAAAAGTGAGTTTACAATCTGATTCCTGAAAACAAAAATGGTAAATTATGTCGATGCTTAACAGTCAAACCATCAATACTAAAATGGTGCCACTGAGGTATACTTTGGCAGAACTTTCCAGGGCAATGTCACTTTAGCTGAAAAACTATTCATGGGATTTTACTGAAATTCCTGGATAAAATTAACCAAGCCTCATTATTTTCCACATCTAGGCCTGATTCTCTATATACTATGTATTACAGGAAAGGTTTCTGTAAAAACTCAAAACTTCAGGGGCTCCTGGGTGGCTCAGTCGGTTAAGCATCCAACTTCATCTCAGGTCATGATCTCACAGCTCATAGGTTCGAGCCCCACATCGGGCTCTGTGCTGACAGCTTGGAGCCTGGAGCCTGCTTCGAATTCTGTCTCCCTCTCTCTCTCTGACCCTCCCCCTCCCTCACTCGTGCTCTCTCTCTCTCAAAAATAAACTTTTTTTTTTTAATTAAAAAAAATCAAAACTGCTGAGAATGTTTCCTTTAGAAAGGAAGCCCAATCAACTGCAGATACTTTGCTAACTCTCGACCTCTGTTTGCTTCCCCAGCTTAAGAGAGATGGGGATGAAAGCCACTCAGTAACACCTCACTCAGGGTTAAACCTTGCCCGAGTTCAAAAAAAGCTATGGGTCCTGTCCTTAGAAACACACATATTTATAAAAAATTTGAGGGGCACCTGGGTGGCTCAGTCAGTTAAGCATTTGACTTCAGCTCAGGTCATGATCTCACAGTTCGTGGGCTTGAGCCCTGCGTCAGGCTCTATGCTGACCACTAGCTCAGAGCCTGGAGCCTGCTTTGGATTCTTTGTCTCCCTCTCTCTCTGACCCTCCCCTGCTCACTCTGCCTCTCTCCCTCAGAAATAAATAAAATATTTAAAAAAAAATAAATAAAATATTTAAAAAAAAATTTTTTTTACTTTGAAAAAAATTTTAGGGGATTCATGAAAAATCAGGGTCCAAACCTTTTGTCAAAGTGACATATGCTAGGAGACAAGTCTGTGAAAGAACTAATTGTAGTATGTACACTTGATACTTGTGTATTTTATTAAAGGTTTTAAAATTCCTTTTAAAAACGTATATAAGAGGGGCGCCTGGGTGGCTTAGTCAGTTAAGCGTCCCACTTTTGCTTAGGTCATGATCTCACAGTTAGTTCGTGGGTTCGAGGCCCGCGTTGGGCTCTGGCTGACTGCCAGCCCAGAGCCTGGAGTCTGTTTCAGAGTCTGTGACTCCCCTCTCTTTCTGACCCTCCCCTGCTCACGCTCTCTCTCTCTCTCTTAGAAATAAATAAAAAACATTAAAAAAATTTTTTAAAATTTAAAAAAATAAACAAAAACATATATAACTCCTTTATGACTGGTTTTAATAGTTACTCAAATGTCTTTTTAGAATATTTCTACACATGCAGTTTATTTTTCCACTTTTTTTTATGTTTTTTATTTATTTCTGAGAGAGAGAGACAGCGTGAGCAGGGGAGGGTCAGAGAGAGAAGGAGACACAGAATCCAAAACAGGTTCCAGGCTCTGAGCTGTCAGCACAGAGCCCGACGCAGGGCTCGAACCCACGACCCATGAGATCATGACCTGGGCCGAAGTCAGACGCTTAACCGACTGAGCCACCCAGGCACCCCTTTCCACTTTTTGCTTAAAAGGTGGAGAAATTAAAAAGATAAATTAACACAATTCTACAACCAAGAAAAGAGTCATCATTACTACTGCAGTGAGCACAGTGAAGTGCAAGAAAGCCGCCTGCACATATACTGATGATGGTCAGAGTCAAGCTGGAGTACTGCCTGGGAGTGTGCTGGGTGCTGGGAATACTGGACACAGGGGATGATACAGGTAAACATTCACTACGCTGTATACGTAAGATCTGCACACACTATGATAAATAGCAACAATCGTTTTCAAATCTAAGCTTGACCAAGTTCACGTTGAGGAAGTTAACTGATTGCTCGCTTGTCTTATAAGTCTGTAAAATGCATTTTTTTAAGTAAGCTCTGTGCTGAAATGGGGCTTGAACTCATGACCCCAAGATCAAGAATCGCCTGTACTACCAAAAGCGAGTCAGGCAGCCCTAAAATGGATTAATAAAACTTCGGGAGTTTCTGGGGAACTAAACAGCCATGTATAATACGTGGTACAATGCTTCACACGTAGTAAACCCTCAGCAAATGTCAGTCTAATAATACATCATTACTATAGATGGTGGACTGCAACTTTTATCAACATAGTATCATTTCCCAGTTTAATACTAACAATGATAAATTATGTATGTTTCCCCAGGCCAACAGACAGACACATACAACACAATCCTTTGAACAGGGGTCTGTGTGGACTCGTTCATCACGTGGTATGCATGCAACAGAACTTGGCCAACTTTTCCCCAAGTAAGAGAAATGCACGTTATTTCCCTGTCATTAGAAATAAAACCACAGCGAATATCCATGCCCCTACGTGGTTTCTTCTGATGCTTTTTATACCTAAAACAGATTACCATAAAACTTAAGGTTCTTCCAAATGTGACATGTTAAGTCTCAGATAACAGAATGCCTACCCAAACAACAGGAACACCAAAGTGAGGGTACTGCTAGTGTGCTATGGTAGAATGACCTGGGTTGTAAAACCTCATGGATCCTATATTTATTTATCAAATGAAAGGCTAGAATAAGTTATCCTTCCAAATTTCAAAATACTATCATTTCATAACAGTCTAAACTCTATAGCTCTTTCCCCAAAGCCCAAGGAATTAAAGATTCTATTTAATGACAGAAAAATACTCACAACATACTCTTAAGTGAATAGATGTTAATTCCAATTTTGTTGAAATATACATAAGAAAATATACCTAAAATGTATTCTTGGTGGGATACAACTGCAGTCAATTTTCATCTTTATCTCTTGACGTACTTCCCAATCTCTGTACAATCAGCATATGTCCTCAGGTCATGATCTCATGGTTCCTGAGTCCAGGCCTCACTGCATTGTCAGTGTAGAGCCTGATTGGGAATTCTCTCTCTCTCCTTCTCTCTCTCTCTGTCTCTCTCTCCCCCTGCCCCCCTGCCCTCCCCTGATCACTTCTGTTTTCTCAAAACTAAACAAACTTTAAAAAAAAAAAAAAAGAATAAAATTTCAGATTAAAAAAAATAATAAAGGTGCAACATGCTTTCAGTATGTGTATACAACAACGGTACAGCTCTGTAACAAAGTGCTTTTGTTTAATTTGGTCACAGTGGCCTATGCTAAAGGCACCTCAGGGGCGTCTGGGGGGCTCAGTTGGTTGAGCGTCTGACTTCAGCTCAGGTCATGATCTCACGGGTCATGGGTTCGAGCCCCACATCGGGCCCTGTGCTGACAGCTCAGAGCCTGGAACCTGTTTCAGATTCTGTGTCTCCCTCTCTCTCTGACCCTCCCCTGCTCACGCTGTCTCTCTCTCTTTCTCTCTCTCAGAAATAAATAAAACAGTAAAAAAAAAAAAAAAAAAAAAAAAAACTTAAAGCCACCTCAAAAAAAAAATCCCTTACAATTTCCAAAAGTAAATTCTACACCCACATCTCTGCCTGCCACTCAGCCAGCTCTCACTTTTATGTCACCGAAACACAACATTCTCGTCAAGCAGACAAAATCCGGGCGGACAAAATCTGACCCAGTTTATTTTAGCCACAGACTCCATCCTGGGGCAGCGCGTCTATTTTCGGCACAAACCTGCCCCAGTCCTGAGACCCAGGTTCCCCGCGAGCGAGCTGGATTTTGGATTCACTCTCCAGTTCTGCGCTGAAACCAGTGTCCCTAAAAATAACAGATGTCCTTCCCAACCTGCTCCTCCTCGGGAACCTGTCTGAAAACCCCTGTAATAAATCTTGCTGCACAGACCCTATCGGTGCAAAACAGCTCCCGTGGACCATTACTTCGTGGGCCCGCGGTAAAATTCCTACGATTTCTGTTAACGGAAGCTGTCAAATTTAAGAAAGATAATCTGATTTTAAGTTGTTAGCCGCAGATCAGGCTGTGATGCCACTTTGGATGTATCTAAGTTCTTCCACCGAAACACGACCCAGCCGTACCAACCTTGGTTCAAGTACGTGAGTGTCTCATCATGCAGCTTGACGGCTGGCGAGGTGGCGGCGCACATCACATACTGAAAGGGGGGGTGTTTAGTCTCACCGTCCAAAGGAAGGCTGGAATCTTCCTGCTTAAAAATGGGCAATGCCAAGACATCGCTGAAAGGCAAAAGAGTCAACAGTGATCTTATTTTGAGTTTAAAATACTTAAAAGCATATAAAAACATTTAAGGGCAGTTTCTTTTAAAAATTTAAGTCCAGGGCGCCTGGCTGGGTCAGTCAGCAGAGCATGCGACTTCTGATCTTGAGGTTGTGAGTTGCAGAGTTAGAGCCCCATGTGAGGTGCAGACATCACTTAACAATTTTTATTAAAAAAATAAAAATAAAAATAAAATGTAAGCCCAGAAATGTCATGTAGAATAAAAGAACTATTAATGTTAATCTTGCTCCCCCAAAAGATAATAACCCGTATCTCCAGCGTGGGAGGGGAGAGGGGAGGTGGGGAAACAGCTATGATTAGCCAGATAAAATAACAAGTATTTAACAGTTAATAAAGTCCATGCTGATTAAGCAAGTGATCTAACAACATATATGGTACTTCAAAAAAAGTTACTTCAAGAAACCCTTTAAAAACTTTAAACTCCGTATTATTTCTATGCAAAAGGAGCAAGTCAAGAGTGCGTAGCTACCTGTTTTGCAAGGCAGGTCACGCCAGCACCATAAACTCACAAAACAGAATTTGATGAAAGCGGTACTTTACAGCAAGGGCCCCGTGAGGCCTGCGTTTGCAGAGCACAGAGCTTCAGGCTTCGTCTAGAACAAGGGCTTCTTCTGAGAAGCAAACAGTTGCAGCAGAAACAGCTGCTGTTTCCCCGAGAATAATCTGGTGCACTGGCTGGGAGGGAAGGGGAGGGGGCGCGGGGGGGCGGGGGTCCTTCTGGGGCATTGCCTATATTCTCTGTTAACCCAAGCACACACGGATGCGTTTCGTTTGTTTTTTTGCAAAAACAGTGGATATATAACTTACATTCCATAAAAATTCACCTTTTTAAAGTGTATCATTCCATGGGCTCTGCTGTATTAGAAGAGTTGTATAGTTACCCCCAACTATCTAACCCCCAAACAGTTTCATCACCTTTTGAGAAACCTCATGCCCGTTAGCAGCCACTACTGCCTGACCCCAGCCCTAGCCTGGCAGTGACCTACTGTGTCTCTATGACTTGCCTCGTCTTTTTTTTTTTAATGTTTATTTTTGAGAAAGAGAGGCACACAGAGTGCGGGCGGGGGAGACGCAGAGACAGGGAGACACAGGATCCGAAGCAGGCTCTAGGCTCTGAGCTGTCAGCGCAGAGCCCAACGTGGGGCTCGAACTCACGGACCACGAGATCATGACCTGAGCCGAAGTCAGACGCTCAACCTTCTGAGCCCTCCAGGTGCCCATGCACTTGCCTATTCAGAACATTTAAAGCAAAGAGAATCCCATGGCCTTTTGAGACTGGTTTCTTTTACTTGATGTTTTCCAGGTCCCCCCGTTGTAGCATTCCCATTTGGGGTGAAGGATACTCCCCTCGATCAGGCGGACCTAACAGCAGGATCGGCACTCTGGGGCATCTGGGCTGCTGCTATGAACACCTGCGTGTTTCTGTGTAAACCTAGGACACCGGCCAGGTTTCGCGGTTACTCTGTTCAGCTCCCTGAGGAACTACCAAATGGCTTTCCCAAGCGGCTGCACACCTTTATATTCCCACCACGAAGGAAGGGATTATCGGTGTTTGTTTTTGAGATAAATCTCTGACCTGTATACCTGCATCTTGATAATGTTTCTATGTTCATTCCTCAATAAAAAAGTAAAGTAATAACAAAATATCCAAATGAACTGCCTCATCAACACCAATAGCAAGGTTTTGTGTGAATTGCTTATTTTTTCCTTTTTTTCCCCCCCAAAAGACATTAACATACTCAGATATTTGGCTAGCCCATTTTAGCTAAATTCAATTTAAAACAGAAAGTGTACATAAATGAGATGGGAAAGAAAGGCTGCAGTGCTTTCCTTCCTCCTGGTGTGTGCATGTGCACGTGCGTGTACACACACACACACACACACACACACACACACACACACACTGAAAGCATTAGACTGATTATTTAGACTAATTACCCACTGGTTCTCTTCGTCACACCTGGGAATTGTCAAAACGCTCCTAAGTACTTAGGTGTAACTGAGAAACCCACAGTCAGCACTGGTCCTCAATCCCTCTCCAGAGTTCTTCTCAATGCTGCAGCCTAAGGGTCTCCCCCTGAGGGGCACAGATCTAAAAAATTTTCAGGAGACTGGAAAATGGTACTTTAAGACTTAGAGCAACTCTCTTCATGAAAAACAATCATGACTGTCCCATGGTAGATGAAAATATATATACACATATTCTTATGCCCTGTGTATGTAAGCGTTTTAAGGATGAGAAAAGGGGGCACCTGGCTGGCTCAGTCACAAAGCATGCAACTCTTGATCTCGGGGTTTTCAGTTCGAGCCCCATAGGGGTGTAGAGATTACTTAAAAATAAAACCTTAAAAAAAAAAAAAAAGGTCATTTTCTACTGAAATCCCAATTAATTTTTTACTTAACTAGAAAAAAAATGTGTTCTAATCAACACAGCAGCCAGTGATCTTCCTCAAACAGAAGCCAGATCATTCTATTCCTTTGAACTCGCCCTCAGCTCCCTTTGCACGAGGATCCCTGCTGCAAGGCCCCACTCACTGTGCTCGCCTTCCCTCTTCTACGTGGCCTCACTCCCCCTGCCCCCCACACCAGCCTCCCACCTGCCTCTTCCAAGGCATCTGCTGGGTTTGGTGCTACTCTTCTGCTGATGTCCGTCCAGTTCACTTCATTTAAATGTCACCTTCGCAGTGACAGCGTGCCAACCGCAGTCCTCGCATCCATGTCCCCAACCCCCTTGTCCTGCTCTATCACCCACAGCTGATCGTCTTCCCACAGCACACAGGACTTAAGTCTGTATCCCCCTAAGTAGATAACCATCTCCCAAATTGGTTTCATTTCACTGACTTACCCCAACATGTAGCACAAAGAGCCTCAAATACCTGCTGAATCAATGAACCAACTGCACTAATAATCATTATTAAAATGAAAACAACAGGTATCTAGGTAATTTCCACTAGGCTGAACCTTAAAGTCCCAGCAGTCAACTGTTTTGTAATCCCAAACCCCAGACAGGTAGAGCTCCCAGGGATCAGACAAGCAAATGAAAAGTCTCAAGGCTTCGAATTATTACTACTAACTCTGAAATGCCAGTACCCAAAAATAACCCCGCACACAAAGACAAACAAGCCTCTGGGAGCAAGAACCAACAGCAGAAACAACAGATGGCATCCCCTCAGCTCCAGATCTGTCTGTTGGTATTCAGCTCTTTTCCGCCTCTGTTGCAGAGGGGTTCACGGTCTGAAACTACATATACGAGACTTCTTGCCAGCTGGAGTCTTGCTAAGTCGTTCCAAAGGGAAGCACTGGTGGGGAATGGAAAGGGAGTGGGCAAAGACAGAGGCCGGCAGCCGCACAGAATGTGGCTGCAGAAGCTTCTGGGCCGGGGCAGTCATGCCTCCAGGAACAGCCAGGTAACAAGCCTTCCTCCCCAAACCGTTCTGGCACCTTCACAATCACATACTTCACTGCATCTTTCTCTGCTGGAAACATCTACATGATTTCTATTTTCCTAACTGGACACATATTGATACCCCTAAAGAATTCAGATGGTAGATTTACTGGACCCATACCATAAAACTATGCTTACTCTGTATAAAGAAATAAAAGGCAAGCCCAGGGACACTTGGGTGGCTCAGTCAGTTGGTTGAGCGACTGACTCTTGGTTTCGATTCAGGTCATGATCTCACCATTTGTGAAACTGAGCTTGTTTGGGATTCTTTCTCTCTCTCTCTCTCTCTCTCTCCCCCCGCCCCCCATCTCCCTGCCCCTCTCCTGCTCACTCATACACACTCTCACTCTCTCTCTCAAAATAAATAGAGAAAAACGTAAATTAAAGACAAGCCCAAACTGATCAGCAAGGAAGAGAAACTTTTAAGAGACAGTAAAATGAAAAGGAACAAACAGAACTTCTAAAACCGGAAAATAAAATTGCTAAAATTAAGAACTCAGCTTTAACAGCAGCTCAAACAGAAATATAAAGAAACTGGGCATAGAGGTAAAAAGAAGTTATCCAGAAGGCAGCAGAAAGCAAAATGATAGAAAATGCAAAGGAGACATTAGGAAACGAAGGACAAGGCGAGAAGGTATTACACTAAATGGAATTCCCAGAAGAGGAAATCGTATTGCAGAGGCGCTGTTTGAGATAAAGGCTGAGCACTTCCAGAACTGATGAAATATACCAACTGACTGATTCAGGAAGCCCAAATAACCAAAGCAGGAAAAATAAAAGAAATCCATACTTAAATACCTAGAAAAAACATCCATGCCAGTACAGTCTGTGGAAGAAAGTATCAAGAAAGGGAATCAATCTGCACAGAAAGAGGAGCCCTTGTGTACGGCTGGTGGGAATGCAAACGGGGGCAGCCGCTCTGGAAAACACTGTGGAGGTTCCTCAAAAAATTGAAAATAGAACTAGCCTATGACCCAGCAATTGCACTGCTAGATATTTACCCAAGGGATTCAGGTGTGCTGTTTCGAAGGGGCACATGCACCCCAATGTTTACAGCAGTGCTATCGGCCAACAGCCAAAGTATGGAAAGAGCCCAAATGTCCATCAACGGCGAATGGATGAAGATGTGGCATGTATATATATACACACACATATATGTATATACATATATGTGTGTGTATATACACACACACACACACACACACACACACGATGGAATACTACTCGGCAATCAAAAAACTGAAATCCTACCATTTGCAACAACGTGGATGGAACTAGTCAGAGAAAGACAAATATCATATGACATCACCCATATGAGGAATTTAAGATAAAAAACAGATGAACATAAGGGAAAGGAAGCAAAAATAATATAAAAACAGAGAGGGAGGCAAACCATAAGAGACTTTTTTTTTTTTTAATATTTTTTATTTATTTCTAGGAGAGAGAGAGAGACAGCGTGAGCAGGGGAGGGTCAGAGAGAGAGGGAGACACAGA